GGGCAGAGCCTGTGTCTTGCCTAAATTTTTTGTCTCTGCTGGGTCCTAGCAATAAGAGGTAGGTTGGTACCATGGAGAGAGAGCCGGCTGGATTTGAAGCTAGGAGGACTTAGGTTTTAGTCTTGCTTCTGACATTTATGAGATGTGTGACCTTAGACAAGTGATTTAGTCATTCAGTGCTTTAGGCTAGCAGTTCTCAAATTTTTTGGCCTTTTAAGTCCCTTACAGACTTAAAAATTGTTGAGGACTCCACAGAGCTTTTATTCATGTGGGTTATCTATCAATATGTATTACATTAGAAATTAAAAATGGCTAAATTTCAAAAATTTATTAATTTATTTAAATAATAACAAACCTATTACATGTTAATATATGTAACATTTTTTAATGAAGAGAACTATATTTTCCCAAAGATTTTGATGAGAAGAATGGCATTGTTTTACGTATTTTAGCAAGCCTCTGTAATATCTGGCTTAATAGAAGACAGCTAAATTGTCATATCTGCTTTTACATTCAATCCTTTGTTATTAATATATTGTTTTGAGTAAATTATATGAAGAAAATCTGGCCTCACACAATTATGTAGTTGGAAAAGGATGGAGTATTTTAATAGGCCTATAACATCTTAGTATTATTATGAAGATAGTTTTGACCTCATGGATCCCCAAGGGGTCTGCCGGCCACACTTTGAAAACTACTGTTTTAGGTAATTCTAATTAAGACTATAAGCTGAAGATAACGTAGAAGGACTTACATTGGTGGAGGGAGTTTGCTTCTGTAGAAGTTCCCTGTACCTAGGAAATCCCAGATCTAATCCCTATTCCTTCTCCCTGATGCCTAGTGGTATTCTCTGAGCACAGTAAGTACTTATAAAATGTTGAATGAATTAATGAATCCCTGCACGGTTCTCTGCCATTTTGCTGATTTTCAGTTTTCTTAGAAAAATGTCAGGACTTATTAAAAAACATTAAAATTATCCACGATGTCAGTTTTCACCACAGGATATTAGGTGAAGAAGGAGAGCTACAATCTGTCTACCCAGCTTCTCTTGGCATGTGAAAAACACAAAATTATCATCAGGGTGAGCAAGAGGCTTTGAGGGAAAGTCAAGTCAAGCCAACAAGCATTTACTAAGCACTTAAGAATTATGGGGCAAAATTCTGATCTTTCTTGTTAGCAGTGTGCAGTCCTCATGGCAGGTTTGCCTTTGAATCTTTGGACAGTTTACCCATCAAGCGCAGGTATAAATTCCTTTCTGTTCTGTGAATTAAATGAGTTAGTCAACAAACATATTATGTGCTTAATATGTATTAGACACTAGACTAGGCACTAGTGATGCAAATACATAGAATGAAACAATCTTTACTCTCAAAGAGCTTACATTTCTGGGAGGAGAAAAGAAGTACATATGTAAGTATAGAAAGGAGATTATATACACATGTAGTATAGTTATATGCAAGGTAGTTGGGCTCTATGAGTTGGAAGATCAAGAAAGTCTTCATGTAGAAGGCAGTGTTTGAGCTGTATCTAGAAGGAAGAGAGAGAGATTCTATGAGGTACAAGTGTGAAGGGAATGCATTCTCAGCATGAGGGACAGCCAATGCAAAGCCTAGAGATGGGAGATTCCCACATTAAAGGAAGACATCATGTTACACTGGTAGTTTAAACCGTTAAGAATTCACTGTACTCCCAAAGGGCTGTAAAATTGTGCACACCCTTTGACCCAGCACTAGCACTAGGTCTGTATCCCAAAGAGATCATAAAAATGGGAAAAGGACCCACATGTACAACAACATTTATAGCATCTTTTTTTTTTTTTGTGGTGGCAAAGGATAGGCAATTGAGAGGATGCCCATCAATTGGGGAATGGCTGAACAAGTTGTGGTATGTAAATGTAATGGAATACTATTGTGCTATAAGAAATGATGAGCAGGCAGACTTCACACAAACCTGGAAAGACTTACAGAAACTGATGCTGAGTGAAGTTAGCAGCACCAGGAGAACATTGTACGCATTAACAGCCACATTGTGCGATGACCAACTTTGATAGACTTAGCTCTTCTCAGCAGTGCAAGGATCTAAGACATCTCCAAAGGTCTCATGATGGAAAATGCTATCCACATCCAAAGAAAGAACTATGGAGTCTGAATGCATGTGGAAGCATACTGTTTGCTCTCCTTTTCCTTTGTTGTTTTGTTTTATTGCTTCATTCTCATGGTTCCTCCCATTAGTTCTAATTGTTATTTACATCATGACTAATGGGAAAATATGCTTAATATGAATGTATAAATAGAGCCTATATCAGATTGCATGCTGTCTTGGGGTAGGGGAGGAGAGGGAGGGGGAGAAAATTTAAAACTCAAAATCTTATGGAAGTAAATGTTGAAAACTAAAAATAAAGAAATAAATATTTTTTTAAAAATAATTTTTAAAAGAATTTTTAAAGAATTAAAAAAAAAGAATCAAGAGGATCTTATCTTTCACACTCTTAAGAAGTTTGAAGGGTCTGTTCCCACAGAGATAGTTTGAGTAACTGAGGGAACATCCTCCTTCTGGGAAAGAGATATATAGGGCTTATTGCTCCCCTAGACTTCAGGATTAAAGCTAACTGATGAGGACTTGGTTCAAGACAACTGATACACATCTTTTTTTCTTTCCTTCTTTCCTTCTTTCTTTTTTATCTTTTTTTTCTTAGTTTCTTTCCTCCTTTCTTTCCTGGGCTTATCTATAAAATAAAGAAACCATTCAGCAGTTAAGAAGTTCAAATGTGAGTTTGAGAGTAGGAGACAGTTATAGAAGGAGGTGCCTGCACTTATATCAGAGGCTGGCAAGGTGGGGAAGTGGATTTTTTATCTTCTTTTCCCTTCCCCACTCTCCTGCCTCCACCATCGGTCATATCTACTGCTAGAGGTGCAGCAGACACTGCATCAAACAGAAGCATGCTCTGGACAGTTGCAGAGACAGAGAGATAGTCAAATGAGGGAGGAAGCAGCTTCAAGAAGCATGACCCTACTCCCCACACGGGGAGAAAGAGCTTCCAGGCCCTGCAGTACTAGAGGGTGTGAGCTGTCCTTGCCATGTGTCAGTCCTTTACACGTGCCCTACTCCTATGGTTTGCTTAGGTTTGAGCCCCCTCTTTCTCTGTGTACTGTGTATTTTCATGGGGAAAATGAGCCCCAGGTTAATGGGAGGATTGTTTTATACTGATCTTACTGTATCATCTGTGTAAATGACTTTGTTAAGAACTAATTAAGTCTGTTGACTGATTGTTAATAAGAGATACGCTAGATGGGGTTCATGAGCTCTAGCAGAAGGACTAGTCAACCATGGAGTTATTGGTAGAACTCAAGTTAGCATTTGCCCTTTTGGGATTCAATCTGGGAGTGGGAGTGCAATTTTAGGGAGCAGCTTGGAGGGGGTGCAGCAAGGAAAGGGTTATATGGAGTTAGGAGAGACTTATTGGGAAATGATTTTTATATAGTGGCGTAGCAACAAAAAATATCAATAAACCTTTTTTTATGATTAAACACTGCCATTTACCAGAGAACATAACAATTGTCATTTGCCTGTATGGCTATCACAAATTGGAGCCATATGCAAGAACTCATAGTAACGGGGCTCCAGGGATAGCTAAGGAGGACATTAAAAAGTAAATAATTAGTTTGAGAGATACTTCTTGCTGTGTTCTATTGGTACTTAATGGGGTGCTGCCTCCAAATACCCCCACATCTGCTGAAGCTATAGATAGAAAAGCCGCAGTGATATTGATGCTACTTCAAAATGGGGGGATAGTGACTGGACTTGGAATTTCATTGGTGTAGAGAACTTTTACTTGAGAAAACGTCCTCATCCCCCCACTGATATAGGTCAGCATCTTCTTATCTTCTTTGCAATTTATATATATGTATATATATATATTTTAAGCAAGGTATTGGGGTTAAGTGACTTGCCCAAGGTCATGCAGCTAGTAAGTGTCAAATGTCTGAGGCTGGATTTGAACTCAGTCCTCCTGATTTCATGGCTCGTACTCTATCCACCATGCCACCTACCTGCCCCTGCAATTCATAATCTTAAGAGAAATTCCTATGGCACTAAGAAATGAAATGATTTCAGGGCCCTGGGTCACACAGCTGACATGTGTCAGAAAGAGGACCTGAACTCAGGTCTTCTTAGCTCTGAAGCCAGATCTCTATCCTGTACAGCAGAGATGTCAAACACTTGTCTGCAAGGATCCTTATGCAGTGTTTAGTGGCTTCTATTTCTAATTGAGTTGGACACTACTGCTCTGGGGTAGCTAGGTGGCTCAGTGGATAGAGTGCCAGGCCCAAAGTCAGGAGGTTCTGAACTCAAATCTGGCCTCAGATTCAAATCAGGCTTCTTCTTGAGTTCAAATGTGGCCTCAGATACTATCTGGGCGACCCTGGGCAAGTTATCTAACCCTGTTTGCCTCAGTTTCCTCATCTGTCAAATGAGCTGGCAAAAGCAACGGCAAACCTCTCTAGTATCTTTGCCAAGAAAACCTCAAATGGAGTCACAAAGACTTGCACGTGACTGAAAATGACTCAGCAACCACCACCACCCTAACCACCACTGCTCTGCACCATGCTGTCTCTCTTTAAAATTAATGGGGAAAGGAGACTGAATGAGGTATCATGGATCATGCATTGTAACCCTCCACCTCTCCTACTCAGCTTCAAATGCACATCAGAAAAGTTCAAGGGTGACCGTGGAGAATAGAGAAAGAGCAGTTGCTGCCATGGAATTCTTTGGTGGCTGGGACGAGGTTCATAACAAACATGTTGTGTTATGTACGCACTTAATCCAACCTTTCCTTTAATGTTTCAGAGTGCCATGAAACTCCCATTGGAAAATGTTTGCTGCGTAATGCTCATTGTTCTTAATCTCTCTCTCTCTCTCTCTCTCTCCCCCCCTCCCTCCGTCCCTCCCCCCCCCCCCCCCTCTCCCCACCTCTCTCTCCCTCTCTTTCTTTCTCCTCACAGCTGAGCTTGGGGATTATGACCCTGATGAACACCCAGAGAATTACATCAGTGACTTTGAGATTTTCCCTAAGCAGTCCCACAAGCTGGAAAGGAAAATAATGGAAATACACAGGAATGAACTCAGGTAAAATGGTGTTCTGTCTGTAAGATATACCCATGAAAGTGTGCCTTGATGATGGATAGCTGGCAGAAATCCTTTTTTTTTGAGAAGCCAGAAGATTTGGTTGTTATGCTCGCAGAATTCTTGGTGTTGTTTTCACATGAGCCGTCAAGAAAGGGGGGTAGCTGTCATTATTAATCATTACATCTGTATGTGGTACAGTGTAAACTACCTTAGGGAACTTGGAGGGATAGTTGGGATGATATTTTTCTTCTCCGTTTTTTCTTTCCTAGTGGTAACTTGTCAACTATTCTATTTCCTTATTTCCTAAAGTAAGATTTATGGTAATATATATATGTATATATATATGTATATATATGTTTATATGTATCAGCTCTTCTATTTTTAGCCTCATGTTGGCACATACTTTTCCTAGGGTAGAAGCCTTGATGCTAAATAGAAATGACTTCCCCATGCCATGTGTTTGCCCAGTTGCTTTTGAGACAAGAATTTATTTTATGACTCTATTTTCCTCTTACTATGATCTTGAAAGGAACTACTAACTGTATAAAAAAGGAGAATGTCTTATGGGTAAGCCATCAGAAATGAAATGAGACAGTACTTGGGATCAGTTCCCAGATTGGAATTCTCATTTTGTTTCTGTGTTGATGACTCTTCTGTCGTTATAACCTGGGTCTGGTGGGAAACAGAGATGGAGTTTTTAGAAGATTGCAACGAACATAGATTCTGTTATGGCAGGATACAGCTGAGAACTACCGGAGTCAAGATGTTGTCTCATTACTCTGAAGGGAAACAGTCTCATAGAATCTCACAATCTGGAACAAATTAGTGGGTCCCTGAAGAGCTGCCTTAGGCACGTACACCCCCTTCTGGTCAGTCTCAGACATAGCATGGCTGCCTCGAGGCGAAAGAACTCCATGTTTCCTTTGGTTGGAGGGATTCCTGGAAAAACACCCTTCTTGCAGAAAAGGAAAACCCAAGATAGCAAAAAGAAGACATTCCTGCAGAATTTCTAAAAAGGTACAATGAAGGCAAGTAAGATATTTCTTCAGATAGTGTCCTCAAATGGTTCAGATTTCTTTAAAGAATTTCAAAATCAACTATAGGTTTTTACATTTATGATATAGAGGCAATTTGTCACAGAACTGAAATCTCACCATTGAGGCACATAGATTTCTTCCCAGATACAGTGCAGTAAAAATCTGATTTGTCCATTGGTTCGTTTTAGGGTCATAGGATCATATACCTAGCACTTAGTATAGAACCTAGCACAGAGGTGGCCTCGAGGCTGTAGGTTCCCTACCCCAGACCTAGAACATAGTAAGTGCTTAATAAATGTTTATTGATTGAGGGATAGAACTGGAAGAGACCTCAGAAGCTATCTCGTCCAATACTATCATTTTTCAGATGAGGAAACTGAGTGCTAGGGAGGTTGTGACTTGCCCAGGGTCACAAAGGTAGTAACCATCAGAAGCTGGATTTGAGCCCAGTTCCTCTGACTTCAGAGCCCCTCCTCTTTCTACTATACTGTGCTGTGAACCATCACAGATAGAATCAAAGCTCTATTTGATGTTGAGGAATTTAATGACATTAAATTTCCTTTTGATTTGAAAATTTTCCCTCTAGTCTATAGTTCAGTACCCATACTCTCACTTTGATTTGTATGAAATCAATATGAAACATGTCAATGGCTTTTTTGACAAAAGATATTGACAATAAGACTGTATATCCTTTGGTCTCGGTGCCTCAAAGAACACACTTGTCTTTCCCTTTGGCACTTCTTTGTACTGTATCTGCTTAGTACGTGAGGCTGTGTTTGAAGTTGGAAATATGTTAATTGGGCCTCGTACTTGTCTCTGGTTTTGTTGATGTGTTTCCTGTCATTATCAAAAGTAATCTGCAGCATTCAGGAAATATGGCACTGTATCAGGCAGGCAGTGTTTCTAAATTGTTGAGCCTAAATTCCCTAGCTTTGCTTGAAATGTCCATGCTGCAAAACATGTCATGTTAGACCTGCCGGATGAAGTCTACCTGAAAAAAAGAAGCAATTGAGGTTGTGTGTCTCAAATATCATGTAGTCCAAAATAGCATGGCAGCCTATTATTACAGCATGCCGACATTCTTCTGTCAGTGCATTTCCCTCGGGCAAGAGCCAAGGATGACTGTTAGCCTATGTTTCCACTGGTACCCTTACAATAGCAAGAGAAAGTAAAGAAGGCTCCCAGTTCATTGGGTTGACCCAGTGGATCAAACTTATGGGAGAATAGTTGCAGGAGTCATGTAGTATGGACAGGCATGAATTGCGATCTTCCCCATCATCATTATTGTTCATTTATTTCAGTCGTGTCCAACCATTTGTGACCCCATTGGGGTTTTCTTGGAAATGGTACTGGAATTGTTTTGCTATTTCCTTCTCCAGCTTATTTTACAGTTGAGGAAACTGAGACAGACAGGGTTAAGTGACCTGCCCACAGTCATACAGCTAAGTGTCTGAGGCTGGATTTGAAGTCAGGTCTTCCTAACTCTGGGCCCAGAGCTATACGCATCGTGCTACTTGTCTGCCCATCATCATCATAGCTGACATTTATAAAGCATTGTAAGGTTTACAAAGTGCCTTACAAATATCTTATTTGATGCTCAGAACAACAACTCTGAGACATGAGCACTATTAGTATCATCCCTATTTTACAGATGAGGAAATTGAGGTGGGCAGAGTTTAAGTGACTTGCCCGGATTCATATAACTAGTAAGCTTCTGAGGCAGGATTTGAAATCAGGTCTTTCTGACTTTAATTCCAACACTCTGTCTACTATGCCACCTAGCTTCTTTATTAAAGAAAATACCTACACTGATGGGATTCCAGATCTTTTTGAATAGCTGAGTGCATTTCCTTATTGTATCTTACCTTCTCTCCAATGAACCACATGTTTTCTCTGTGCCAGTAGAGCGATGTTCTGAGTTAGTTTTGAAAGATGAAAGTAGGAAAAGAAGCCAATGATGTAAAGAGCCTTTGGCTCATTGTGTGATGTTTTGAGTTAGAATGGGAGCTCTGTTAGTACTAATTGAAACAGCTTGGTGTCCTTCGGGCTTGCCATACACTTGATTTTTAAAGAGATGGTGAAAATGCTGACAGGTTTGCATTGGGAATATGATCTGCAAACTCAAGTGTGCTGATTGAACCCTTAATTCAGCAGGAATGATAGGTGAGAGCACATGACAGGTTCACAAAGATATGATTTATTGCTCCCTCTAAGTTACTCACCAGCTGTCCTATCCTATGAAAAAGGGATAATGCAGTGACAGTTGAGTTCCTGCTTGGAGACCATGGGGATGTTCCCTTTTAGCCCTAAAGTTACCTGTATTTTTGATAGAGAAACAAAGACTAACCTTTGCATTCAGCTTCAATTTTTGTCTTAGGCCAGCTAGGAGTTTCAGAATAGTAATAACTGCCAATGACCACAGCTGCTTGGGTGGTAGTGGTCATCAAAGAATTGTAAATTTAGACGTGGAATGGACCTCAGAGACCATCTAGTCCAATTCCCTCATTCTATAAATGAGGAAACTGAGGGCCAGAGAGGTTAAATGTCTTTCCATCGTCTCAAGGGTAATGAGTGGCAGAGCTGGGATTCAGATTCACATCCTTTGATTCTTAATCCAGCCTTTCCACTGCCCCATCATGTCTCTATGAGAGTACTGAATCAGGCTGACTTCCCACCATCCTATTTTCTTCTGTTTATCCTTCTCTCTCTCTCTCTTTCTCTCTCCCTCTCCCCCATCTTTTCTCAATAGTCTGTTTTGCTTCTGACCAAATTTTCTACTCATTTCTGATCTTTTCATCCAGAATGCTTAAAAGTCCTCTACTTCATGAAATGTTTTTTCACTGAAGGATTATACTTAGTGTTTGCTGAGCACGTTATTCTTGGTTGTAATCCTAACTCCTTTGCCTTTCAGAAAATCATATTCCAAGCCCTGTGTTTCGTTAATGTGGAAGCTGATAAATCTTGTGTGATCTTGACTGTGGCTCCAGTATATTTAGGTTGTTTATTTCTGGATGCTTGTAACATTTTCTGCATGACCTGGGAGCTCTAGAATTTGGCTATAATATTACTGGGAGCTTTAGTTTTTGAATCTCTTTCAGGAGGTGATTAGCAGATTCTTTCAATTTCTATTTTACTCTCTGGATCTAAGATATAGGGGCAGTTTTCCATATTAATTTCCTGAAATATGATGTCTGGGCTCATCATGGCTTTCAGATAATCCAATAATTCTTAAATTAACTCTCCTCAATCTATTTTCCAGGCCAGTTGTTTTTCCAATAAAAATGTTTCACATTTTTCTTGTATTTTTTTCATCCTTTTGACCTTGGTTCAGATCTCTTCAAAGTCCTGTAATAGATGCCTCCTTTTTCTCTCCTCTCACTTTCTTCTTGACCCTTAACAATCTGACTTTTTACTTCATCATTCAGCTGAAACTGATTTCTCCAAAGTTACTGATGACCACTTAATCACCAAATCTAATTGCCTTTTCTCGTTCCTTGTCCTTCTTGAGCTCTCTTTAGCCTTTGACACTGTTGATCACCCTCTTCTCCTTGATACTGTCTTCTCTCTAGGCTTTCAGGTCACTACTTTCCCTTGGTTCTCCTCCTTCCTGTCTATCTCACTGATCCTTCTCAGTCCCCAGTGCTGAATCATCTCTTGTACATGCCCCCTTCTCTCCTCTGATGCTGCCACCAGCCTGATATAGGTCCTCCTCACCTCACACCTGGACTATTGCAATAGCCTGCTGGTTGGTTTCCCTATCAGGACTGTCTCCTCACTCCAGTCTATCCTCTACTTACCTGTCAAAGTAATCTGTCTAAAGGGCAGTTCTGATCATGTCACCTTCCTTCTCACTAAACTCCAGGGCTTCCTATAATTTTGAGGATGAAATATAAAATTCTCTCTTTGGCATTCAAAGCCCTTCATAACCTCTCCCTTCCACCCCCTACCCTTACCTCTCCAGTT